TCCTCCTCCTCCTCCTCCTCCTCCTCCTCCTCCTCCTCCTCCTCCTCCTCCTTCTGATCTCCTCCTCCTTCTGATCTCCTCCTCCTCCTCCTCCTCCACCACCACCACCTCGTCAACCTCCTTCACCTCGTCATGCTCCATCTCATCCACCTCTCGTCTTTCTCTTTCTCCACGCCCTCCCTCGCTCTTCATCCTCCTCTCCCTTTCTTCCGTCCTCTACTTTTCATCTCTGACCGATACGTCAGGGAGCCTTCTACATCTACGCGCACGTCAAGCACATGCTGGGACCCGCAGGGTGGGGGAGGGGAGGAGGAGAGAGCTTGTTTGAGATGAGATGCAGCTGTAAGGACAGCATGGAGCTCGCCAAGAAGATCCTCGCTGAGTGAGTCTGCCTCCTCCTCTTCCCCCGTCCTCACTCTCGTGACGCAGCTGCTCCGTTGCCGTCACTCCCGGCTTGGTATTCCCTTCTCCTCTGTCCTCCCCTTCCTCTACGTACTCTTCTCCTTCCTCCTCCTCCGCCTCCTCTTCGACTATCCCCTTTTTCTCGATCGCCTGCTTGAACTGGAAGTCAAGGAGGCCCATGGTGGCCGCCTGACGTGAGGCAGGACTTCGACCTCTCGCGAGGAGGAGAGTTCATTCGTTTCAGCTTCGCCGGTGCCACCCAAGACATGGAGCGAGCCTGCGAGAAACTGCAGAGATGGTAAGGAGAGGAAGTGAGTGGAGGGTAAGGAAATGATAAGATAGAGGAGGTGGTAGGGGAGCTAGAGGAGGAGGAGGAGGAGGAGGAGGAGGAGGAAGCGGGGTAGGGAGGAGGTAACGTGAATGTGCAGGTATGAGGGACTGGAGAAGAAGTAAAGAAAGACAAACGAGATGTAAACAAAGACGAAGGAGAAGTAGGAGGGAGGGAGAGAAGGGCAAGGCACGAAAGAAACTTCACATCTATTATAACACTGTCGACCTTCTCCTGGAGTTACAGGAAGCAACCAAGGGCTCCTTCTCCCTCCCTCCTCTTCCTCCCCATCATCTCCCCCAACTTCCAGCTCACATGCACGGCATTCTGCGCGCATCGTCGCTCCAGCAGCTCCGCCTCCTGCATTGCCGGTCCCTCCACATGGAACCTCGACTGCATCCTCCCCCTCACCCCCGCTGCCACAGACCCGACCGACACGCCGACCCTGCAGCACATACCGCAAGCTTGCACCTCCTCCACCATGAGCCGAGCCAGCGACAGCACCGAGCGGCAGACCTCAAGGGACCGAAGCTTCTCACCCTCCCCCCTCTCCTCTGGCAGCCACCCGACTACGACGTAGGCATCCCCGATGGTGTCGACCTTGAAGAGGCTACGGTCGAGGACCATCTGGTCGAAGGAGGAGAACAGCTTGTGCATGGCGCGCGCGAGCGCGAGCGGCGCCATGGCGGCTGAGAGCTGCGTGAAGTTGCAGACGTCGAGCTGGAGGACAACGGCGCGGCGGCTCCTCAACCTCGTCTTACAGAAGTCTTCCTGCTCCACCGGGAGCAGATCCCGCAGGACGGACTCAAAGCGCCCGAGCTCAAACTCGATGACCTTGTAGTACTGCAGGCGGTTGCCCTCCGTGAGCTCCAGCGCCCGAGACTTGAGCTGCGTGACGAGGAGAGTGACGGAGAGAGCGATGGGGATCACGAAGCTCCTCGCCAGCCCCATGTCGAGCATGAGGATCACGGTGGAGGAGGAGACGCCAAGGATCGCCATGAGGAGCAAGCTCAAGAGCGACTTGCCGCAGGTGATGAGGTTGGTGAAGACGAGGATGGCGCTGAAGATGACGGTGATGCGATCGCTGGCGAGAAATTGGTTGGCGATGACGGCGAAGCAGACGCAGCTGATCTTGGAGATGATGAAGTGCCGGTAGAACTTGGGACAGACCTTGAGCTCCTCCCACAGACTCCGCACGGTGAAGGTTAAGTAAGAGGTGATGACGCAAGCATGTACCCCGATGACGGCGAGCTGCCTCAGCAGGAGGCATCGGCTGGCAGCAGGAGGGTCGAAGGGGCAGAGCTCGTCGAGTGGAAAGACCTTCAAGACGTTGAGCTGCGACAGGACGGCAATGAAGTGCAGGAGAAGCCTGGTGGCGATGGTGATCCAGTGATCCCGCGCCTGCTCGCTCCTGAAGTTGAACTCTGTGGTGGGGTTTGAGAACATATCCAAAGGTCTTCTCAGCGGCAGCGGCAGGCAAGTGCCACTTGCATCTCGCTGCAGCTGAATGTCTTTCAGCGTGATGGGCGACTGAACTTCCTGCTCGCTGTCGAGGATCACCCGATAGACGTTCATGGTTCCCTTCCCCTTCACTTCGATCCGAGCCATCGGCTCTGCTGACAACTTGCTGCTCTTCAGTCTCTTCACCTCCTCCGCAAACTCTTCCGTGCACAGCATCTGCGAGCACTGCGCGTACTTGCACATGCGAGCTGTGGTGTTGATCGTGTCCCCGTACACGCAGTAGAAGGCCCGATGCAGCCCCACCACAGCTCCTGCTGCAGCCCCACAGTGGAGGCCAACCCGGAGGGTCAGCCTGCTCCCGTTGATCTCGAACTTCTTTGCACGAGTCTCCAGCTCCTCTGCCAGCAAGCACATCTCCTCGAAGTAGCTCAAGGGATACTCTGACTCCTGGACCTCGCGGTCGAACGGCTGGGCTACACGGGGGCACGTGACGATGTACCAGTCGCCGACATGCTGGTACTTGTACATGCCGAAGATCTGGACTGCCTCGTCAAAGTCCTGGAAGACTCGGTCAAGCAGCTTGAAGCTCTCGTGCCCCAGCAGCGACTTGAGCTCGGTCTGTGGCTCCAGTGCGCAGAACATGACGATGCATCGAGGAATCTCGATGCCAAGGAACTCGCGGTCCTCGTGGTACGTGAGCCTGGCCATGACGTTTTCGGGTATCAGCGTGTGGACGAGTCGTCTGCTCTCCTCCGAGGTGAGGGCGAGCTTCTTGAGATACTCGAACTTCTTCTGCTGGTTCAGAATCCTTGCAAACACTTTCCTCGCGGTGTATCCTCCAGCCAACAATTGCAGCAGACCACAAGCAACCCAAATCATGAGGTCTCCCGGAAACGAAATGATCAGAAGGGTAGCTAGTAGAACTGATACAAGGAGGAAAAAGAAGCCTATTGTACGGCTGTCCAAATCTATCGAACTATTCCGAAAATAAATAACTCGTTTCCCAGCCTGTTGCATTGTTGTGAAGAGAAGCGTATATGCAATTTTGGAATACAAGAGGACTGATATAATGCCGATGTAAGGAAGAGAAGGGAAAGAAAGCAATGTGCTGTGCGCAGAAAAGTTGTTCTCTGATTTTCGTTCCATCCAAGTGATATTGGCTGCACCGCCGCTGAGATAGAAAACCATTGTTGTTCACCGAATGAAGGAAACAGGGCTATGAGTGTGAAAGCAAGCCGAGCAGGACTTGGAGCTTTACTTGCTCGCTCTATCAGGGGCAGATCATTACGTGCTCTTCTCCTCGAGCTGCTCTACCTTCACCTCGCAATCGCTTCCCCCTACTCGCTTCCGCTTCTGTGTCAAGAAAACGGATCTGAATGGTGGGGTACCTACCCCCACCCCCTAAATTACTCTTTATCACTATGATCTCACCCACCCCTCGCAGGCGCGCAGTTCAGTTTCGATTTTGTCCCACCCACCCCACCTTATTTTGAATAAAAAGGCTACAGTGAAAAAGAGTGTTTTCGATAACTTGGTATTGTCATCGGATGGTATTTTTAGAAGCATCTCTCACGTGACACAACCAAAGGTTGCGATTTCTGGTCAGTCCCTGCCCTAATTGTATCCAAGATCCATTATCCAGTGAAAAGACTCTTTTTCAGAATCGCACCTGCAGCCACCTGGTCCTCCCCCTCTGCCTCCATGACGGTTACATTTTTCTGTCGACGGTTTCAATGTCGACGGGAAGTGTAACCGTTACATGTGGTTTTGCCATAACGGTCGTGGAATGGCGTCGTGGATCAGGATCCAGGTGGTGCTCCGAGGAGGATGGAGGGGGGGGGGGGGAAGAGGATGGGGGGGAGGAGGAGCCATCATGATCAATACTGTATGCCCTCAGTCGGCCTCTGCGATCTTGCTAGGCCATGCACGAGCTTGTTCTGCTCTACGGAGTCGACCGTCCCCAGCAATCGGGATATCAAGGCCTTCATCCAGCGTCTGGTTTGGAGGAAAATACCAGAGTTCAATTGTTCCTCGACTATTTTCAACCCTGTTGTCACGTAATTGTGCTGCTATGTGCGGGCGAGAAACTGCACCCCTTGAGATTCCGACAAGGAGACATCTGTCAACAGCAAACAAAGAAAATGATGCAACCAAAAAAACCGTGAGCTACTTCACAAGACCACGAGCAGAGAAGCCTATCATGAACAGATTCCTTGTAGAAGCTACGGAGATTGACATGCCGCATGCATTCTTTCCCAGGTGAGTTACGGGCTGGCTCTTGATCATGATGAACACTGATGCATTGTCAGAGCAATAGTATGCTTCACTTCTATTCAGCTTGCGGTCACCTTGTCATTTTGCATGTTTTACAGCGATCAGGTTATCTTCACTGGAGAACTCACTAAGTGCTTTCTTGCCTGACTGCGCGCAAGTGTGACCTGCAACACAGGCTGGCGTTCGGAGGAGGGCTTCTTGCCTTCTCCGGGTTTGCATTCTGGAGCTCGCTCATGCTTCAAGATCGATACATTTCCAAAGTAGTCGCCATGTTGAACACAAAGAAGGTCATCAAGATAGCCAAGCAGACCCTCACAAGTTGGCTGATGTGAAGTTGATGGTTTAGGTGAAGATACACACCCCTTTCTTCCTTGCGGACAAGAAGATCGAGGCAGATACATCCGCCATCAAACCTGCGTTGATGAAAAGTTTCTTCACAAAGGGTGTTGACACTCCTCCTCCCGATGTATGCACAACAGAATCACTTTCCATCTGTGACTCTTGTGTAACAGCTTCGGAACATTCGAACATTCTTCATTGAAGTAGAAATCTTGCTTGATTTGATTTTATGTCCGCTGACGGCCAACCTATCAGGTTGAAGGCAAAAAGATGATTCTTGATGCAGAAAGGTTGAAGAAGGAAGAATATGATGCTCTCTTGCAGGTCAGATGAACGGGCTCTTCATGATCACCGTGACTGTGCTTTCTTTGGCAGATTCTCGGACTGTTGAGCACTCAAAAGTCGATGAAGAACTGACTTCAAGGCGGCGGCAATGCCGAGCTGAGCCCAGTGAGCCAGGCCAGAGAATTTCACTTCTTGATTTCACTTGGCGTCATGAAGTTCTCGGCGGGGCTGCCTCGGTTGCAGGAGGTGCCCACCGCCGGGACTCAGTCGGGAACGCGGTTGGTGAATGTCAGGCTACCCTGCTGACAACCCAAAGCTGCGAGGCCCGTTGAATCTTGACCAACTCGATCCAATGAAGCTCGTCAACTTCATCTGATGCTTCGTGTACAAGTTTCCCTGAAGCAATCTGATCCCAACATCAAACTTGCCATCGCTTTGTTCTTTCACCTGTCCTCTTACTACTCCTCATCGTTTGACACCAATCGCTTTCCTACACTCTCGCAGCCTGCACACCACGACCCGGACCGCAAGATGATAGTTGCGAAACTTGTCAACGCGAACCGTGATTTCGGATCGGATCCGAGTGCTTGCAGCAATGGGACTCGGGAAGTGACGGCTGAGCGAAGTTTCACTTGAAACTGCTAGAGAGATGATGTATTCTGGACTCAGTTTCAGCAATCATCTTCATGGCATTGGTGAACATCATGGCTTTGGGGCCGGCGACGCGGACCTACACTGAGCCTGAGTCTGGCACTGAGTGAGTGCTGAGTGCGCCTCAGTGTCGCTCTGAGGCGGAGTGGATGACACGCCCCCCGACCTGCATCCCTTTACCCGGCCTCATGGCTGCCAGGGCGGTCGTCGTGTGCATGCTGGCAGCTCATGCGCATGCCTTCACCTTCTCCTCCTCTCTTCCCTTGCGCGCGCAGCTTCCTTCAACCTGCTCTTCGGTCAGGCAGGGCTGCCTGATTCTAAAAGCGAGGAAGACAGAGGAAGACGCGTTGGTCGATACCGACGTGCCCTCCACTGCCGTGGGTGTAGACAAGAACTGGTTTGAACGAACGACTTCAGCAGACAGAGAGTACGTTTCCTCTTGATTTTGAGTCATACATGATGTTGTTTGATCACAGATCACGAGTTGGAGGCGATCCTCTCTCGCCAAAATCGAAGCCAAGCAAGGTTCCGCAACGAGGATCACGATGGGGTATCGAGGAAGAGAGCAACGAGTGGTATAAAACCCAGGAGCAGAAGCGCTCGGTGTTTGGGAGAACTTTGAATGTAATCGTTTTCTGCCAGTGTGCTGCTGTGTGCGAAAATAACAAAGGTTCACAGCCATTGAACGGGTCCCTGGAAAGGAAGGACGAGACCGCGCAAACAATGAATCTTCTTGAGGATCCGATCTTCTATCTCATTCTTATCGTTGCTGCTCCTGTAAGCTACTCCCACACATCTTGAGCGATTGTGCTCATCGGCTCTTCGCAGGTCGCCATCCTCTTCGGGTCAGCCGCCACCTGTGTAGTGCCTGCGCTGTCACTTGCTTTCGGCTTTCAGTGCTCGTGGTGAGGGAGAAGAAAGGCTGACGGGCGCTCGAATTCATTCTTGTGATATTCTAAGCTCTAAGAATCAAATCTTGTTCATGGAGACGATGTCAACACTCTAATAAATACGTGGTTACTTGCTGTCTGCATGGGTCGCATATCTTCACCTGGACTCCGGAGATTTCGCCAAGTGTTTCCTCCAAGTCATCGATGCTGACCTGCAGGAAAAGTTTCACATTACTTCAAGGCTTCACGCTTTGACTGCACCTTGTCGTCTTCCACTACCACTGTGATCCGCAGCTTCTGGAGGCCGTACCTGCTCGATGGTAAGAAACGATGAGATGTGAGGGAAGGCAACGGAACCCGATGGAGACCAAGTGGCTTTCACCCCACAGCAATCCTTCCATTTTGATCTGAACGACAGCCACTCGCTCATTGCCTCGCATGGTCGCACATCAAACATTCAAAGAAACTGACCTCTCGCGCAGACTTCTCCACCTCCTGAAAGTCGGTATTCTCATCAAGACCTGGTATGTTGATCAGAATCGTGACTTCTATGAGTAGATTAACCTTTGACGTCTATCACCACCGCAGTCTTCGCTGGTCCTCGTCCTCCTGATGACTTTGCCTTGGCCGCTTCAGCTTTCTTCTTCAACTCTTCTGCTGCAGCGGTGGTTTCTTCGTCTCCATCAGCAAACAAGTCGCCATCCTCGTCATCGTTGCCTCCCTGTAGTTCCCATGCGTCATGAGCCTTCAGGAAGCACGGGGCCCTGCATTCTCACCCGCAGTGCGAGGATCGCGCCATGGTTGAATCCGGCATGCTTGGCCTGCTCAAGAGCGGAAAGCAGGGAGTCTGAGGACAGGGGAAGGAGGCGAGGGGCGAGGAGAGAGGGGGAAGACGTCAGAGTGAGAGGAGGAGCGAGGGCCTCTGCGGCCCCAAGAGCCCCCAGCATGCACATGGCCGCTACGACCATAAGGATCCTCGCCATACTTGCGCGTGAACAGAGGTCGATGGTGAGGGTACCGGTGGGCTTATCGCCACTACCCCATCAGATCTCGTCGGAAAAAGGGGTGATTGAGTTGATTGGGGTGGGTAGTTAAAATAAAAGCTAGAGCTAAAAGTCTGTTTCCGTGTTGGATAGTAGAACTCGATAAGATTATTTTGCTGCCTTTCAAAAAGATTGACTCTATGATGAGGCGAGCTTGAAATGGTATTGATCGATCAGATGAGTAAACATTTTTCAGGCAGCGAAAGAATGAAGGGTTGCTAGGGAGCGAAAGGATGCAGGTATAATAGCAGGAAGAGCAGCAGCAGCAGCAGCAGCAGCAGCAGCATATGAATCTTCCCTTAAAGATACTCCCCCATCATGTCCCTTCCTGTCCTCATCGCTGCTCTCCTGGTGTTCCTTCCTGTAGTCGCGGGCAAGCAGGCCGACACGCTTGTCGTTATCTTGCATCAGAGAGGAGAGAGGGAGCTGAACCTCCTCCATTCCATTGACTTCACTGACGACGTTCAGTCGATCCTGGTGTTTGCTCATGAAGCTGATAAGCAGCTCCTGGAAGAGCAAACTCAGGAGCAGAGGGTTCGCGTCATCACAAGAAAGTATGAACTCGAGCGCTGCTCCTTTGACGAGCACTACATTGTTGTACTCGAGGACACGCTCACGTATGCTGCCGACTGGATCTCTGTCGCAAAGAATCAGGTCGATGCGATAGGACGGCGAGCAGTTGTGGGAGCTCGTGGGTTTGTGTGGAACAAGCATGCGATAACGAGGACGCGCAGTTTGAGCAACGCCATGATCTCGTTCCCGACGAGCTCGGAGCAGCCCCATGAGTTTGACGTGTGGGTGGATGTGCTGCAGGTGGGAAGCCTTAGCTTCCATTCAAGTCTCACTGAACCCAACGTTCTCCTCCGCCTGCTCGAAGCCTTCCGGTCGGGCTTGGCGGACCTTCACTTCTCTACCTACCTACTCCTGCATGAGATCGCGCGCTTGTCCTTCTCCTGCCCCTCCGAGTGGCTTCCTGTGCCCTCTCCTTCCACCCCTCCTGCCTTCTTCTTCCCTCAGCGCATCGAACAGCTGCGGGGCGAGTCCCGACCAGCGCTGCTGCTCGCTCTTCAGTTCGCACCATGGAGGACAAGAAGTCTGCCTGAAGCATCGACGTTCCTCGTGAAGCTCCGGGTAGCAGACGAGAGCATCGGCTCCTTCACCTACACGCTCGTCGAGGTTGACCCTCAGCAGGACGGGGAGGAGGAGCACGATTGCCCGCACGTGCCCTGCATCGAGAGGAGGGAGCAAGGGGAGTCAGGGAGCAATGGATCGGTGCTTGCGTCAACATGGGGCAGCCACTGCGAGGGGAAGCTGACGGTGGTGATGCCTGTCTTCTGGAAGCCGCGAGCTTGCTTCTCTCTGCAGACGGTGCGGCAGCTGGTGGGGATGGACATCGTCGACCGCGTTCTCATCCTCTGGAACAACAAAATGTGGTCCAAGAACAGCTCCATTGCCTCGCTGATCATGAAGGCAGAGGCTTGTGGGGGGGGCTTGAAAGGAGACAAGGTGGTAGTGGTCGATCCTTCAGATAGGGGAGCAAGCAAGTCTTCGCTGAACCATCGCTTCCTCCCTTGGGAGCAGATCAGGACAGAGGCGGTGGTGAGCATGGATGACGACTTCAGGCCAGAGGAGGAGCAGCTGAAGAAGCTGCTGGAGGTCTGGTGCTCCTTCCCCGAAACTCTCGTGGGCCCCATGTGGCTGACAACGCGAAGTCTGGCGTGCAAGGACGCGAGCTGTGCTGAGCTGACCTACGTCACGGGGGGTTGGCCCGGCTACTACAACCTTATCCTCACCGGCTTCGCGCTCTTCCACAGGGGGTGGCTGGTGAAGTACAGCGAGGAGGAGGGAGTGGGGGAGATGGCGGAGGGGAGGCGAGTGGTGGACGCGTACGGGAGCTGCGAGGATATCCTCCTCAACTTCTTGGTGGCGAAGGAGACAGGACGAGCACCGATTGCCGTAGAGGTCGGAGACGTGCAGGAGATGGAGGACAATGTTGGGCTGAGCAGCATCGGCAGTCACTTTCATGCCCGAAGTCGCTGCTCCAACGCCTTCCTCCTTCCCTTCCCCAGGTTTCCCCTGCACACCAACCACAAGGGAGAGCACAGGACCGACGTTGGTGCCTTCCTGTCGGGGGAGCATGCAGCTGCTGAACGAGCAGCGGAAGATGCTGGCAGACAGCGCGAGCAAGAGGAGGATCTCGACAAGCTGCGATCTGCATGGAGGAGGCACGTTGAGGAGGTTGGGAAGGAAGACCTTGGAGCCACCGCTCCTGGTCCTCCTACGCCATGGGAAGGAGAAGCAGGATCTGACAGTAGCAGTGGGGAGAGGCCGGGAGAGAGGAGGGTGGTGGTGGCTACCGTCCTCTACTCTAGCCTCGAGTACCTTGAGCTGCAGGTCGAAAGCCTCAACGCCTTCCTCCTGCATCCGCACGTCTTCGTCGCTGCCGTCGACTCCCCGACTCCCGAGCTCCGCACTCGCTTCCTCCTCCGCTGCGCAGACCTGCGGGTGCAGTGCCATCGGACGCCTCTGAGCGACGAGGAGGAGGAATTCGAGCTGAGCGAACGTCCGTCTTACGGCCACATGCTCGCGCTGCAGTGGTTGCTGCATTCTGTGATCTTCAAGGAGTTCGCAGACGACGTCCTCCTCATCCTCGACCCGGACGTCTTCCTCATCCGCCCCTTCTCAGTCTTCCGCTTCCACTGTGACGGTGACGCCTCCTGCGGCATCTTCTCCCCTCGCTCGTCACCCCATCCCCATCCCTGTGACATCACAGGCTTCGCGCAGGTGGCAGGAGGCGTCAAGGACTCGGACTCGCTCTACCTCTACCTTCACGTCGGCGTGCTACTCCTCGACCTCCCCCGCATGCCCATGAAGCACACGTTGAGCTTGGCTCCCGTCGCAGTCAACGAGGTCCTTCACGACTCCGGCGGCAGCCTCGTCCTCTACTTTCTCCGCCTTATCGAGACCATCCCGCACTTCCGCATACTGGAGTATCCTTACTCTGCCAAGCCCTGGTGGTCGTCAGGCGTGGACGAGCTGTGGGAGGAGGAGGAGAGGGAAGGAAAGCTTGTCGTCTGCTACCTGCAGCACAACTACTCCTCGGACGCTTGCTTCAACGAGCTCGGCGCGTGTGATCTCCAGCAACCAGGAGGCAGCGACCGATGCCCAGCAGGTCTCCCCGACCTCATCTCCGGCGTATTCCTGCACATCCGCAAGTCTTCAGGATGGGACGAGCAGCGGAGCTTCATCTCCTCCTCCAGCAGGCGTCACCTCCGCTCCTCGAGGATGGTCCGCATGCAGTGCGCCCTCGGGTACGTGCGCAGGCTCGTGAGCCTCCAGCTGGGGCATCGGCTGGTGGACCTGAGCGAAAACAACGTGGGAGCAGCGGTGAATGGAGGGCTACTGCTGCTCGCAGAAGACAAGATGCCAGTGCCTCCTCTCCTCCTTGACGGGAGGATTGACGGGAAGACGATGAAAGTCGGAGGCTCTTCCTCCTCCATCTCAGCCTCGCTGTCACCGTCACCTTCCTCATCATCATCTTCATCATTATCATCATCTTCTTCATCATCTTCTTCATCATCATCGTCGTCATCTTCATCTCATTCTTCTTCTTCGTCAGCAGCAGCATCGACATTGTCACCTTCTTCTACTACTTCTACTGCTTCTGCTTCTGATTCTTCTCCACCTCCCCCTCCTTCTTGTTCTACTACTTCATCATCTTCATCATCGTTGTCTTCTTCTCCTCCTCCTAGTACATCATCATCATCATCATCATCATCATCATCATCATCATCATCATCATCATCATCATCATCATCATTGCCTTCTTCTTCTTCAATCCTCATTTTAGTGCGGAGCGGAAGAGCGGCGGCGAGGGTGGGGAGGATGAGAATGCATGGGAGGTGGAAGGATGCGAAGCTCTGCCTCTTCTACTCCTCAACCCTCTTCAACACGACACTCCAGCAGGATTTCAGCTGGGAACCGATCGACTTCCAAGTTCGAGGGCAGGTGGAGGAAGGGAGCGATGATGACATCTGCCGGGCTCTTCCCCCCCCCTCCTCCGCCAGCCCCCTGGAGCTTGACTTGGCTCGTCCCCTCGACCTGCAGGCTCTCTTCCTCGCTCCCATCGACTCGTCTCGCTCCCTCCGCTGGCACGGGGGTCAGCTGGAGGAGAAGGTCAGGAAGCTGCAGACCAGCTGTGTGCTGGAGCTGGAGGAGGTGGAAGTTCTCTCGAGTTGAAAGTTTATTTTCGAGCCCCAGCAGCCTCCTCCAGCCTCTGAAGCCGCTCCTCCTGCTCCCTCCCCTCAGCCCTCGCAGGAGGAAGCAGTCACCTTCCTGTCGCTGGAGGAGGAAGACGATGTGGTCGAGCCGCGCGTCCAGGTGCCTCCGAAGCTCCTGCGAGCAGATGAGAGGAGAAGAAAGGTGACGCCATCACCGTCATCGCATCCGCCTCCTCGCCAACTCCGGGGAGGGCAGGAGGTTCTCTCAACGCTGCTCTGTGAAGGAAGACGGAGAATCTGAGCAGCAGTCAGAAGCTGGGAGGAGGGAGGGGAAGACTGCAGGACCTGCTGTCAGAGGAGAAGAACGCAGAGGACTTTGTCCTCCTAGCATGCAGGACGAGCATGTCGTCTGAGCGAGAGGGAGTAGGAGGGACGAGGGCGAGGCCGCGGAGGAGGGAGGTTGCATCCTCCTGCTATGGGTGAGAAGAGACGCGACCTGAAGGATGCAGGACACCAGCTGGAGGCTCTTCAGCTCCCTGCGCTCCGACCAGCAGGAGGAAGAGAGCGAAGCCCCGCAGGCGAGAAGCACCGGAGCCTCTCTGCTTGCACTGCTCCCGACAATGATGCTGACGGAGGCATCTACAGCAAGTCAGGGAGAGGGAGGAAGAGGGAGCGCTTGCCTTGGGTCCAGCACAAGAGCAGGTCGGGCATGGAGGCCTCCAGGTTCTCTCTCGCCATCTCTCGTGCTGTTTCCGTTGCTCCTGCCCCCGGGCTCGAGACCTCGTAAAGGACCAGCTGTCCCCTCACTGCTCTCCCCGCCTCCTCCTCGACCTGCTGCTTCCTTCACTCTCTCAGCATCCGACTCTTCGCTTCCCTACCTCGTCTGACGATCCCAACACAGAGAGAAGCAGAGATGCGCCTGCTCCTGTCGATGAAAATGTCCCACGGAGATCGATGAGCCCGCTTTCTTCTCCCTCCCCCTCCTCTTCTCCTTCTTCTTCCAACTCTCTTCCTCTTCCAACGGCTCTGCTGCTTGTTTCCTCGCAGCTCGTCGGTCCTCCTCGCGTCTTGTGCTGCTCCTCGTCCCCTCTTGCCTTGAGATCCTTCGCGTCCAACTTGTCGCTCGTCACCACGGGAGCGTCAAGCGTCAACGCGATGACGTGCTGCTCCTCCCTCGCTCCTCCTCCCGCTCGAGGCAGGCAGACACTCCTGATGGCTCGCGGGGAGCTGGCGAGAGCGACGCGAGAGGACGAGACAGCCCCAGACCCTCGCAGAGCAGCAGGCAGATGAAACACGAAGAGGCCTGCACGTCCAAGAATCGCTCAAAGTCTGAGAAATCGAGATCGAGGACGAGGATGACAAGGTCAAGGAGGGGGGGTTGCCTGCTCGTCCTATCACACAGAGGGAGCGAGTGCCTTGGCTTCCTTGGCACCAGGCGATGGAGTCTGCGCGATAAAGTCACGGGAGGAGATTTCTCGTCCTCCTTCACCTCTGCATCCCCGGAAGCCGAAGTCCTCCCGCAGACAATGCCGCACCTGCTTCAGGTCAGCTGCTGCTTCTGCCGGCTAGACCAACCTCGAGGCTCATCTCTCCGCTTTCCTCCTTCGCCTCCTTCGCCTCCATCGCCAGCAGCAGCACGAACTCTCGAGTCGCCCCTCCCTTCCTCTCGCTCACACTCGCACACACCAGCGGCTCAGCTGCCTTGCAAGACGAGTGAGCAGGGCAACGAGGAGGGAGAGGCGAAGAGCGCAGACCTGAGAGGCGGAGAGCTCGTGGAAGACGAAGGAAGGAGGAGCTGCCGGGGTAGGAGGTGAATCGAAGTGAAATGAGCATGGGTCGAAGAAAGCGACAGACTGAATCAGCAGCTCCTCTCTGCCACCAGCTTCTCACTTTCATTCTGCCGGTCAACGGCTCCTCTACCCTTCCAGCGTTACTCTCCACACGCGTATCCCTCCTGCTCCGCTGTCCAGCAGCACCGCAGCTGCTTGCCATGTTGACCAGCAGAAGCTCGAGATGCTCCTGCTCAGTGTCAGGGCAGATACCCGGGCAAGCGCAAGAGACCACTGGCACTGGATGGATGTCTTGTTCCTCACCCCAACACCTTCTTGCCCCGACCCTTGCTGTCTCATGGCCATGACCACCATCGAGGTTGATCCCTTGGGAGCGAACGCCAGGAAGTCGCCAAGAATGCTGGAAGAAGAGAATTTGATATGACCTACTCCTTCTCCCTGCCCTCCTATACTCCCATCCCATCCCATCCCATCCCCTCCCTTCTCCTTTTCAACACGATCCCTCCCCTCATAGAATCTTCTCTCCTCCTCTCTCCTCCTCTCTCCTCCTCTCTCCTCCTCTCTCTCTCACCTCAGGCTGCTGCTCAGCTCGTTTCCCCTCGCCGGCATTGCGACGTCCTCGAACAACGCCATGCCATCTGATACCCTGTCTGATGCCATGGCAACAGCCATGGCAAGGGCAGTGGCCAGGGGGATGAGGGTATGGGTGTGAGGGGGATGATCATTGGTATGAGGGGGATGATGTAGAACCGGGGTGGAGGAAGAGGGGGGTATGAAGGTATTCGATTCTCTAAGTGAGACTCTAAGTCGAGAAGGGGAGCATCTCATATCGCTCCTCACGTCTTGTGCAGGGACAGCGGCGCGGCATGCACACGCGTGCAGGGAAGGGAAGAGAGAGAATGAGGGAGAGGAGGAGGAGGAGAGGAGAAGAGGGAAGAGAGGAGAGAGGGAGGAGAAGAGGAGAAGAGGGAGGAAGAGACAGAAAGACTGTGAGAGAAGAGGATTTCACACGTGTTTCATTTGATGAAGATGATAGCAAGCAGAGCGAAGACCACGAAACGCAGGAAGAGCCTTTGGGGTAAGCAGAAGCAGCTATCTAGAGAGTATGACCACATGGCACTGCTGTGCTAGCAGTGAAGAGAACTCGTTACAAGTTCAATGACGCGTGGATGGGTTTCAACATTTCGTCATTTCTTGATAACATGATACCTTCTCCTCAGGAATCTCAACCATGGGGGATGGTCTTCGAGGAGTCAGTGCCGAACAGGATGGGCGATTCAAGTCGACCGAGAAGAAGCTGCTTGCAAGAATGAAGTTCCCGCCTGAGTTTGCGACCAAAGTTGACATGCGCAAGGTCAATCTGGACATCTTGAGGCCTTGGGTGGCCAAGAAGGTGAGGAGGTCAAAAATGGAGTAGAAGAAGGAGAAGGAGAAGGATCCGCTCCTGCTCCTGCCCCTGCCCCTGCCCCTGCCCCTGCCCCTGCCCCTGCCCCTGCCCCTGCCCCTGCCCCTGCCCCTGCTCCTGCTCTTGCTCCTGCTCCTGACCCTGACCCTGCCCCTGCTCCTGCTCCTGCTCCTGCTCTTGCTCCTGCTCCTTCTCCTGCTCCTGCTCCTGGTGTGGTGGTGGTGGTGATGTAGACAGAGGAGAAGATGAAGATGGTGGGGATTGTGAATATTCGCTCAGGTCACTCAGTTTGTTGGTCTAGAAGATGACATCATCACGAACATGGTTCGTCTTCCTACCCTCCTTGTTACTTGTGGTGCTGATGGAAATTTTAATGGCTACAGTGCATGGCTGAGCTTGAGAAAGAGCACGATCCGGATCCGAGGAAGATTCAAATCAACCTGACAGGTTTCCTGGAGAGAAATACACCTCTCTTCATGTCCGAGCTATGGAAACTCCTCATATCTGCGCAGCAGAACTACAGGGCAAGTGTCTTGCTGCTCCCGTTGTCTCGGTGACTCACAGAGACAATGGTACAGGTTGAAAACGGGAAGCCTGTGAAAGGAATGCCTGATCAGCTAGTGAAGGAGAAGGAAGAAGAAATCAAGAAGATGAACGAAGACTTGAAAGCAAGGGCCAAGAAGGTTGCTGAAGAGAACGAAAAACAGCGAGAGTCAAGGATGGAGGAGGAGCGGCAACGAGAGCGAGCAAAGGACCAAGATCAACGGGCCAAGATCGAAGATGGCATAAAGGAGATCAAGCGGAAAGAAGGCGACGTCTCTCGATTTGAAGGAGAAGGCAGGGGAAGGTACCGTGATCGAAGGGACAGGGACAGGGACAGGGACAGGGACCGAAGCAGAGACTGGGCCAGGGACAGAGAGAGAGACAGGGACCGAAGCGACAGGGACAGGGACAGGGACAGGGACAGGGACAGGGACAGGGACAGGGACAGGGACAGGAGCAGACGGGATGACCGTGAACGGTAGACATGCTCAGATCATCCTTGATGTCAAAACCTGATGTTGATTTCAAGTTCCAGAAGTCGAGAACGCAGAAGGCAGAGGAGCAGGTAAAAATCGAGTAACTGACATGTAATTGTCGGTAACTTAGAACTCAGGAGCCGTGAGAGAAGAGATCGCGGTAGCTTTGCTTTGACACTCCTGGATGCTGCTGTAGACCAAGACGTACCCGTTGACGATCCTGCGATCCTTGTTTTCGTTGACGATCCTGCGATCCTTGTTTTCGTTGACGATCCTGCGATCCTTGTTTCGTTGGCTGAAATCTGATGTTCGCAGGAAGAGATCGAGACGATCGTGACAGACATCGACAGGACTCGAGGTCACGCAGTCGCAGTGGGAGCCGCGAGCGAACGTTCAAGCGCCGAGATGACGAGAGAGACAGGAAGAGGGAGCACAAGGACCCCAGGTGATAGTTGCCGCAAGGCTTGCAGCCACGTCAAACTTGCTTGCAGCGTTGAACGCGACACGAATGAGGAGCATTCGAACAAAGCTCTCAAGTGAGCGCTGAAAGTGAGGCGCTGCTGGGCTCTGACAAGCTTGTGTTGCTGCAGGGAGCCTGAACGTGAGGAGAAGTCACGCGGCGATGACAAGGAAGTTCAGGATTAGCTAAGAAGCGGCGAGATAAGATTAAAGATCCTAACGGTCTTCTTTCTCGCTTGCTTGTGCGATAGACTTGTCTTCGGACCGGCGGAGCTCGGAGATGAACTGCAACCCCACCCTAAACCCTAACCCCTAACCCCTAAACCAGGTGCCGCATCTCAACTACCGGGACAGAGACCAACAGACTGACAGTGATCGCTCCATCCTCCCTCGCCCTCCTTACCGAGGGTTTAGTTAGCTCACTGCCGTTCTCGTGGGTTTAGATCAGTGTCTGGTTTAGTCTGTTTTGACAGCATCGTGAAGGGTTTTCGAGTAGTGACGAGGAGGTGGGGTCAGCAGCTGCAGCCGTTGAGAATGCAGCGAGAAGATTTCAACGAGCTGCTGGAAGCGACAAGGATGAGCGGGAGGGAGGAGGCAGAGGAAGAGAAGAGAAGAGCGAGAGGCGAAGCGAAGGGCAGAGAGAGATGGCGAGGAGGAAGAGCAGAATGGAGGGGAGCTAGGAGAGAAGAGGGGAGGGGAGGGGAGGAGGTAGGCTTGTCAGGTAGCAGTGCTCTGCCTCAGCTCAGAGCTGAGATCAATGTCTCTGGGAGCACAAGATTCGACGCCTCCAAGTCGATGTCAAGCTCAACTCTCTCCTCGTCTCGCTTCGCTCATGACGGGCTTGACGCATCACCTCTCGCTCTTTCCTTCTCTCTGCCTCTTCCTCTCAACCCTCGGGGGTTCGAATACGAGGCGAGTCCTCGAGCTAAGACCGCGAGATTTCTTCATACTCCTGCACGCTACGAGCAGCTCGACAGGCTCGAGCAGCTCCAGCAGCTCTACGGCAGAGACCCTCGCCTTCTCGCCCAGCGCCAGCAACACAGGAACAGCGGCGAGATGGTCGCACCTAGAGCTGCTCGGGCGCGTCCAGGTAGATCGAGCTTGCTGTAAACTGCTCTCTGACTCAGACAGGACTAGATCAAGAGCAGGAAAGAGGAGGGGGGGGAGGAGAAGTAGACGCGCACGTCATACCTGAAGTGGGAAGCAAGCATGGTCAACCCAAGGATGAGTCGCTACTCGGACATCTTGCAGACAAGCGGTAGCCTCCTCTACCCTAGCTCCTTCTCCTTCCTTCGGTCCCCTAGTCACCCTCCTGATCAGCCTCTTCCTCAACCGCTGGGTCGGCTTGTCCTGCTCCAGCATTGACGAAGCCGTCGACATCGCAGCCAGGCAAGAGAAGAGCTAGAGGGGGAGGGGGGAGAGAGGGGGGAGAGGCTAATCTACTTCAGGTCTCTCACTATCGCACTGGAGAGGAAGGAGGAGCACAAGAAGCTCGGAGAGTATCGCAGCATCTCAACTCACGTCGCTTTCCATCTCCTCACTCCTCGTGCTGCTCTCTCCTCTTCTCACTCGGGCGATTTGAGCAAGCCTACCAGCTGGTGAGCAGCTGGGCAGCCGATGAGGAATGACGCGACGAGCAGGAGGAAAACAAAAGATGGCAAGAGTTTCATCCCCGACCCCTTCGTGCTGCAAGTACACAAACGTTTTCCTCCCTGCCTCATTCACTCACTCACTCACTCTCTCTCTCTCTCTCTCTCCCTCTCCCTCTCTCCCTCTCTCTCTCCCTCCCTCCCTTCCTCTCCCTCTCCCTCTCCCTCTCTCCCTCTCTCTCTCTCTCTCTCTCTCTCTTTATCTTTTATTCTTCTTCAAGACTCCTACCCTTCCTAAGGAACCCGCTACCCTCTCATGTGATTTTAGGCTTGTCAAACTCGCCGTCGCTACATCCCGAAGATCAAGGTTCTTGGCCTCCACCTCTTCCTCCTCCTCACTTGCATGTCAGAGTCAGTCGTCATCGAGCTCGTTTACAGCTCTCTATGTTCCTCTTCTTGCTCCGGTTGAGTCGGCGAGCCTCGTCCTCCTCAACTCACAACCTGCAGGACCCCAAGACAATTCTGGACAGGGAGCAGGACGAGGACGAGGACGAGGACGAGAACGACGAGAGGGAGAAAGGAAATCAGCAGACTCGGCAGCCTCCTGAACGTTTGGTCGGCGTAGTCTCGCTGACGAGAGACGAGGAGGTGAAAGTTTGGGGAAGGAGGAGAGGAATGATGTGGAGAGGCAGTATCCCTTCAGTGAGGAGGAGCAGAACTACGTCAGCGACTTCAGCGAGGCAACTGCTGCTTCTTCTTGCCTTCCTTACATCCTTCCAGACCTTCAGCCTCGTCCTCCTCTCCCTCCTCCGCTCCCGTAAGGCACATGAGGTCTCTCTCCTCCTCCTCTCCCTCACTTCCCGGGTGGCTGAGCTCAGCATGTAGGCTGCTGCTCTTGCTACTGCAGTCAAGCATGCTGCGCGAGAGCTGACAGGAGAACTTCGGTGAGTGCTTGTCCTCCTCTCCCTCCTCTCCTTCCGTCTCATCTTTGTGCTTCGCCTGCCTGCCTCCAGCATCCCCGTCCTCTGTCAGCTTGCCGCGAAGATGGCGACGCAGCTGGTTGGCGCCGAAGCTGCTCGAGTCTTGTTGTTGAGCAGGTAAAGAGAGGAGGCAACAGCGAGAGGAGAAGGAAGAGGGAGGGAGGGACGAGGAAGAGAGGAGAAGGAGGAAGAGAGGAGGAGGAGGAGGAGGAGGAGGAGGAGGAGGAGGAGGAGGACGGGGCCAATGAGAGGCTGCAGTGAGGGAGGACTCGCTTCTGTTTTCTGCGATGAGGAGAGGAGCGAAGAGTTGACAGAGAGGAGTGGATCTCTTGAACCAGCCATGGCGACATGCGTGAAGACCAGACAAGTGAAAAACTCCTCCGTCCTACTTCTACTCCTCCGTCCTACCTCTACTCCTCCGTCCTACCTCTACTCCTCCGTCCTACCTCTACTCCTTCTCTCCCGTTGCTCCCATTTTAACCTGGTCATCTTTCCTTTCTTCCTCGTTTTTGGACATTCTCGCTTCTCGTTTGCCTTCAAATGCATCAACATCATAGTCTACCAAAACCTTCTCCTCCCTCCTCCCTCCTCCCTCCTCCCTCCTCCCTCCTCCCTCCTCCCTCCTCCCTCCTCCCTCCTCCCTCCTCCCTCCTCCCTCCTCCCCCTCTTCTTTGTTTGAACTCCTCATCCTCCTGAGCTGGATTCAGGTTCTTGTTGTTCATGACCTCCGAAACGACGCTCGATTCACATCCTACGCCAACTACTGCCAAGGTTTGCTGCTCCTCTCCTCCTCTCCTCCTCTCCTCTTCTCCTCGTATTCTTCTCTCCATCTTCCCCTCTTTCTTCTTCCAACCTCGCCTCTCGTGCCGTCCTCATTCTGTTTCACTATTTTTCAGGCCGCAACTCAAGCAAGGAGAGGAAGCAGCAGGGAGCGAGAGGACGTGGACGAGGCTCGTCGCTTCTCCCCCCTCAGCTTGGCTTCCCGGCCTCATGGCGTATGCGACCGCGCGAGCAGGAGGAGCAGAACTGCCCGAATCTCATCTGCCTGCCCATAGTTGACAAGTGACCTCTTCTCTCTCTGTCTTGTCCTTTAGCTTCCCCTGCTCCTCCTCTTCCTCCTCCTCCACAAGCATCCTTCCCTACCTCGTTCTTGCTCCGCCCTCTTTCATCATCTCTCGCCCTCACCTCGCGCTTGAGCAGAGATGCTGAGGGCGAGGAGCCGGTGGTTCGAGGACTGCTGCAGGTGGAGGAGAGGAGGAGAGGAGGAAGAAGTCAGCGGTGGAGCAGAGGGAGGGGAGGGGAAAGTAGTGATGTATTGCAGTGAGGAGAAAAGGGTGAGCAAGTGTAGGGGGAGAAGAAGAAGTGAGGGAGGAGGAGGAGAAGAAGTGAGGGAGGAGGAGAAGAAGAAATGAGGGAGGAGGAGAAGAAGAAATGAGGGAGGAGAAGAAGGAGCAGGGAGAGGAGAGATGTTGGACGGGCTGAGAGCAGGGAGCAGGTGATCAACAAGGTTGGGGGACCTTTCGACGAGCAAGACCAGCACTCGCTCTCCTCTCTCTCTCTGACCTTCGCTCATGCTCTTGGTAACTCGCGTCCCTTCCTCCCCCTCCTCATCCTCCTCCAGGACATGCGCAGGCTTTCGCTGCCCTCCGTGACTGTGAGGCCATGGACTTGGAGCTCCTCGCCTCCTCCTCGCTTGAGGTCTGCGTGAGAGTGACGCTGGAGGTGAGAAGAGGAGGAGGGGAGCAGGGAAACAAGGGGGGGAAGGAGCGAAGTGACGTATGAGCAGCAAGCCATGCGAGCCTCTAGAGCTTCTTCGGGATGTTTCTTCCTGTTGGAGGAGCCGACAAGCTCGCTCAAGGTTATGGGCCTGCCCGGGGAGTCGTGGACCTCTCCGTCGATCAGTGAAGACAGCCTCTACCCGCTCTCCTCCTCCGCCCTCCTCCGCAAGACCATCCGCGTCGCAGATCATCTTGCAAGCCCCCTCGCGCTCTCTTCCTCCCTCCCCTCCGCCTTCCCCTGGTGGCGCCACGTCCGCAACTCTCTTTGCGTCCCCGTGATTTGCCCAGGAGGAGCTGAAAATGCAGGAGGAGGAAGAGGAGGGGGAAGAACAGCAGCAGCAGCAGCAGGACTGCTGGGAGTTCTCGTCATGGTCAACAAGAAGGAGGCAATCTTCCGCGGGTTCGACGACGTGGACGCGAAGGTGGTGGCGGTGGCGGGGAGGAAGTTGGCGATGGCGATGGCGACGGTGAGAGGGCGCGAGGAGGCGCAGAAGAAGCTCAAAGCGCAGGAGGCCCTCACCTCCTGCTGCTCCGACATGCTCCTCCTCCGTGACAGACGCGACCTGCTCCAGCTCGTGCGAGCTAGAGCTGGAGCCGTGTTGGAGTGCGTGTCAGGAGGGCTGCTGCTGCTGGAGGAGGCTCCTGGATCGAAATTGCTGCTGAGGACGCTGGTGGAGAAGGACGAGAGCGGAGCGCTGAAGGAAGTGACCATCCATGTCCCTCCCTTCCTCTTCGACAGCGACGCGGAGGAGGCCAGCAAGCGCGAGGCTGCGAGCAAGCGAGGGAAGAAGAAAGGGAGGGAGGAGGAGAAGAGTCGCGTAGGGCTCTGGCTTAAGCAGGAGGTGGCCGCTCACTCGCTCTGGCTCAGCGGCTTGATGGGATCGAACGCGTCCAAGGGTGGGGGGGCGTCTGCTTACTTCCTCGCGCCGCATCAGGAGCAGGGGAGGCTGCAGGCTCTTCTCCTCGTGCAGTGGCAGGGCAGGCGGAGACTCGAGGAGGACGAGGAGCGTCGCATCTCTCACCTCCTCGCAGCTGCTGTCACCTGCAGCAAAGCCATCGCTGAGCGAGATGACGAGAGGAGGCGAGCGGCAGAGGAGGCGGCGAGGCTGAGGAGGAGCAGAGAGCTGCAGGAGTTCGTGCAGCAGGTGGTCGCGTGCTCGAGTGCAGGAGAGATGAGGAGTGTCCTGCAGTCGGCCGGCAAGAGGCTCGCGCAGGCTGTGCGTGTGGACATCTACAGCGTGAGGGAGGGAGGAGAGCGACTTGCATGGCACGACCTTGAGCGGACGGGCGACGGGAAGGAGCTCGAGCTTCTCCTCCCTTGTGATGGCCTCGTCGGCCTCGCCGTCTCCTCCCGCGCGTCCGTGAGGGTCACGGAGGCCTCGTCGCATCCTCGCTTCCTCCAGATGGTCGACCAGCGATCGAGTCGCTGCCGGCCGAGGGACATGCTGTGCATGCCCATCCTCGCCTGCTCCTCGGGCCGCACGGGGCTGCCGCACGGAGTCATCCAGCTGACGAACAAGGTGGACGGAAGGAGCTTCGATGAGGAGGACGAGCGGCTGGTGCAGGAGCTGGCGGAGGTCGCGGCGCTGGTGATGGAGAAGGAGGACATGCATAGCGGGAGGGGGAGACTCCTGCAGGCTCTCTGCCGCATCAGCGACAGCCTGGAGCTCACCGACGTGCTCAAGAACTTGCTGGCGGCCAGCTGGGCATGGGCGGGGCAGATGGCAAGCGAGATCGAAGTCTGGACGTGCTCGCCAGAGCAGCCGGAGGCTCTCGTGCTTGCAGGGAAGCAAGAGGGCGGGAAGGAGCCCTGCGTAAAGTTCAAGGAGGAGGGAAAAAGCTGGCGGGTCTGTAAGGAGGAGGAGATTCTTCTTGCTGCGAGGCAGAGCAAGCTCAGCGTCTCCTCCTTGGCCTCTGACGCCTCCGTCTGCTACCTCAACCTGCCCATCCGACACGGGGAACAGGAGGAGAAGCGGGAGAGCCGCGGGCTGATCCGCATGAGGTGCAGGGAGGAGGCGGCGCAGGGAGTGGAGTCCAGCTCGTTGACCCTGCTCGCCACTCAAGCGGCTCGAGCGATGAAGAACGCGGAGGCGCACGGGGAGGCGAATCAGACGGTCCAGAAGGACCTGCTGCTGTTCCGACGAGCTGAGAAGATCAGCCGGTGCCGCTCCTCCCTCGACCTCTTCAAGGTCACCTGCGCCATCGCAAGCGAGGCCGTTGGAGCCGAGCAGGTGTCGCTGTTTGCGGTGGACGAGGAGGGGAGGCACATCAAGGAGGAGGTGAGCGCAGCTGGACATGTCGCCCAGACCTCCTCCCCGAGCTACCGCCTGAAGCATCGCGTCGCCATCCTCGTGCTGCAGGCCATGAATGACTCCGGCAGCTTCCTGGCAGAGGACGTGGAGGAGGGAGAGGGAGGAGGACGGGACGGAGTCGTGCGCAAGCACTGTTGCGGAACACCGTTGTGGAAGTCAGGAGGAGCAGGAGGAGGAGGAGGTCAGAGCCGAGGGGTTGAGCTGCCGCTCTTCGGGGTCCTCGTGTGCATCCGCAAGGAGGAGGAAGGAGCCTTCGCTGCCCACGAGCTCGCAGCTCTCAACCGCCTGGCGATTCTGGCGACCGATCAGATCATCTCCATCCGCGACAAGGCGACGAAACTTGGACAGTCGCTCGTGCTGTCCATGCGAGCGATGCAAGCGAAAGAACCTGCGGCTGTCTACGGCAAGGAAGAAGCCTCCTCCTCCTCCTCCTCCTCCTTGCTTCCGCTGCGCAAACTTGTAAAGTCGGAAGCTGCTGAAGAGCAGAAGCAAAGGCAACCAGAGGCCCTGAAGGAGGAGGAAGCCGGGAAGAAGCTGAAGCAAACAGACTTGAACGATGAGGAGCTCAAGGAAAAAGACCTTGAGGGGCAGCAGGCACATCAGCAGGAGCTGAAGGAGGAGAAGGATCAGGAACAACATCTCAAACAAGAGCAGGAGCAGGAGCTGGAGAAGGATCAGGAGAAAGAGAAGGAGCAGAAGCTGAAGAGGCAGCAGGAGAAGGAGAAGGAGCAGGAGGAGCTGAAATTGGAAGATCTAAAGGTGATGCAGGAGCCAAAGAAAGGAAACCTGGTGGAAGAGGAGCAGGAGGAGGTGAAGGTCGAAGGTGAGGAGATGAAAGAGGACGAGCCGCAGAAACAAGACCTGGAGGAGCCGCGGAAGGACCTGGAGGAGCCGCGGAAGGACCTGGAGGAGCTGCAGGAAGAGACAAGTTCTGCCATGACAAGTAGCGGAGAAGACAGTGAGACTGTGAGTAGTGGTGAGGAGATTGAGGATGAAGGAAAATAAAACGTGTGGTGACCTCATCACTGCGAGCAGTCAACGCCAAGCAGAAGAGAAGAGCTGACAGAAATGAAAGAAGAGCAGAGCTTACAAAAATGAAAGAAGAGAAGAGCTTAATTTAGAAAGTGTCTCAAGCAGGTAAATGCATGCTCCTGCTGCTTGTTGCTTGATTGCTTGACCCTTCGGCTGCTTGTCTGCGCGGCTTCGCGCTTGGGCTGGCGATGCCGGGTCTGCTGACGGTTGCCAGCAGTGCTGGTTCTTTTCGGGCTTGTGTTTTGTGTGTGTTTGTGCAGCTTCTCGCTGTGCGCTGTGTGCAAGCAGGTTCAGCTTGTTACTGCTTTGTTTTGCTTGAGGCACTTTTTACCTTCTGCCAGTAAATCCGTCTTCTCTGGTAAACTAGGGAAAATCAAGACCTACACGCACAACCAGCACTCCGTTGCAGCTACCTCAGCTATGTCAAGAAGTACATGTTGGCTGATGTGAAGCTTGAGATTCAACCTCGCGAGTCGAAAGTTTACCTTCCCTCCTGGCACCAACATGTGCGCGGCAACAGAAGCATCAAGTTCGCGCTGACAACCATCACATTACCTCGGACACTAGTAGAGTTTTACTCGCAAAAGGTAGAAAGCGCCTCAAGCAGAAGAAAGCAGGAACAAGCAAGACCCTCATGCACACCTCCTACGCTTTCTCCGTCCTGGCAGACGCGTCGACTAACAGCTGTCAGTCGGCTGCCTCCGCCGGGTATCGTGTATGAGGGCGTTATTGCTTGCCCCTCTCTGCTTGTCTACGTGGCTTCCCGCGTATATAGGATTTACTGGCAGAAGGTAAAAAGTGCCTCAAGCATGGGCTGGCAGTGTAGGGTCTCGTTTCTTGTGTTTCGTGTGTTTGAGCCGCGTTTGTTGCTGTGTGCTCTATGCCTGCCCACTGAACGGTTCTGCTTGTTGCTGCTTTCTTCTGCTTGAGGCACTTTTTACCTTGTGCTGGAAAAACTCAACCAAACATCCAGAGTGGCCCCGACGCGCTCACTGTGACGTCGGATGCCTCCGGAGAGCTCGACACCTCTCGAAGGCAGGTACCCTCCCATCCTCATGGCCGCAAGCTGAAGGGCGATATCCACATCCCTGGAATCCGCGATCGACGGTCCGAGCAGTACGAGAGCTTGATGGCGGACATGACGTTGGTCCACCCCTATATTGGTAGCTCTGCTGACCTAACCAAGTGGGGACTGGACGGATTTACTGGCAGAAGGTAAAAAGTGCCTCTTTGTGGCTTGTTCCTGCTTTGTTTTGCTTGAGGCACTTTTTACCACCAGTAAATCTTCTCTCCTCAAGCAAAACAAAGCAGGAACAAGCTAAACCTCCAGGCACACAGCGCACAGCGAGAAGCTGCACAATCACACACAAAACACAAGCCCGAAAAGAACCAGCACTGCTGGCACCCAGACCCGGCAGCGCCAGCCCAAGCGCGAAGCCGCGCAGACAAGCAGCCGAAGGGTCAAGCAATCAAGCAACAAGCAGCAGGAGCATGCAGGAGAAATAAAATCCCTCAGACGCAAGCCACAAAGCTGGCGGTCGCGGACGGAGAAAGGGCAGCCGCCGTGCTGCTGGTCCGAGCTCGCCTGCCTCCGATGCCGCACAGCCCCGGTCCCTGGGCATTGATGCGGCGTCGCCTCCGTCACGGGCGGTGTTGGTCTCGGCTACCGCTGACTCGGAGGCTAGTGTGGAGGACTGGATGCGTCACCTCGAGCGGTACCGTGCTCCTGTGCCCAGCCTTGCGCCGTGGGAAGCTTGGAGGATCGGCGTTTGCAGGTCTGCAGATGATGCGCAGCAACGGAGGGATCGAGCTCGCGCTGACATCCATCACATTGCGTCGGACACTGGCAGATCGGCATGCCATGGAGATAGCAGTCGAGCATCTGAGCATAGCGGTGCGGGAAGGCCTTGAGGGGGTAGTTGCTCGAGACTCGCATCGGAGAGTGGCTCAGGTCCCGCCGCTGATGATAGCTCCGGGTATCGGGCGGCGTCTAAGGGGGTTTCATCTCGGACGTCCCCATGCTCCTGCTGCTTGTTACCCCTCCTAGCGACTGTTGCTTGACCCTCCCTGCTTGTCTGCGCGGCTTCGCGCGTGGGCTGGCGGTGCCGGGTCTGCTGACAGTTGCCAGCCGTGCTGGTTCCTTGTGGTCTTGTTTTGTTGTGTGTGTTCGTGCAGCTTCTCGCTGTGCGCTGTGTGCATGCAGGTCCTTTTACCTTCTGCCAGTAAAACCTATACCTCCTGGTTTACTAAGTTGTTCCTGCTTTGTTCTGCTTGAGGCACTTTACCTGATGCGAGTAAACTCTCTGGAGTCGCTCAGGAAAATGAGGTTGCCAGGAGTGCTGGTTCTCAGTTTTACTCGCATCAGGTAAAAAGTGCCTCAAGCGAGTAAAACTCTCACGGTCCTCAAGCAGAAGAAAGCAGCAACAAGCAAAACCGTCAGGCATAGAGCACACAGCAACAAACGCGGCTCAAACACACAAAACACAAGACCGAAAGTAACCAGCACTGCTGGCAACCAGACCCTGCACTGACGCATGAAGCCACGTAGACAAGCAGGGAGGGGCAAGCAACAAGCACCATGATACTAGTGACCGGCACAGCAGGGGACGTAAACGCCTTATAAGCCCTCGTACTGCTCAGACCCTCGATCGCGGATTCCAGGGATGTGGATGTCGGCCTTACTGAGTCTTGCGGCCATGAGGATGGGAGGGTACCTCGGTCAGTCGGCTGCCTCCGGATATCGTGTATGAGGGCGTCCCATTTGCTTGTTGCTTGCCCCTCCCTGCTTGTCTACGTGGCTTCATGCGTCAGTGCAGGGTCTGGTTGCCAGCAGTGCTGGTTACTTTCGGCCTTGTGTTTTGTGTGTTTGCGCAGCTTTTATATCGCTGTGCGTTGTGTGCGTGAAGGTTTTGCTTGTTGCTTTTTCTTCTGCTTGAGGCACTTTCTACATTATGCGGGTAAATCTCTACACTCCAGCGAGAGCGCGTGAGGCGTAGAAGATGAGGTGAATCTGCTATCATTGCGCTTCACTTTTTCTACTGTGACAACTGGAGGAGGACGGAGAGAAATCATCGGGTAGCAGAGAACCATTCGCCCATGAGCCTGTGAAGAGTTACTGACTCTTCTCTCCCTCCCCCTGCTCCCACTGCTCTTACCTGGCTCGAACTCTGTGAGCAAAGAGAACCAGCAGAATGTCGATGAAGACACCGGCAAGCTGCGGGGATGTCGCGATCCAGAGCAAGTTGACTGAGAAGGCAAGTGAGCGAGGGGAGAGGAGGAGAGGAGAGGAGAGGGGAGCGGAGGAAAGTTGGACGAAGGAGGAAGTGAGTGATGGGCTTACCTAGTGAGAAGAACAAGACGAAGGAGATGAAGATGGAGATGTAGCGGATCTTCTTCTTAAAAACCCCCCAAGCGCCTATGAGCTTGAAGAGCACGCATAATATGAAGGAAGCGATCGGCATGGCCATGCTGGGAGGAGAGACGCGATCGGGGCTCAGTATGTCCTTGTTGTAGGTGTATCGCATCTGCGACGCGATCAGATCCCCGCAGGCTCGAGGGAGTCTGACCAGGTCGAAGAAGAAGAGAGCGTTGAGCAGGATGTTCAAGCCTACTGTAGCATGGAAGAACATCTGCAGCTGTTGGTAGTCGCCTGCCAACCCCTCAGCTCTCATCCAGCTGGAACAAGAGGAGCGAACCTGATCGGTCAGCGCTGCCTCGCTGCACGGGGTCAGCCCAGACGATGAAGGGCCCGTTGAGCGAGCCGCTGTGATGGTCTCCTGCCGCATCGTCAGCTCAACACGAGCGAGTCTCTGCTGCCACCTCTCGCCTCAGTCTCCACGTCTCCATGCTGCGAGATGACACCGAGGGAGTGAGAGCCGTCGGGGAAGGAGAGGAAAGCAGGAACGTCGCGATTCACGGAGCTGTGGCGACCGTCTCTGCAGCGATCCATCATCAAATTCTCTCCGTCGCTTCTCCTTCTCACCTCGTCCTCCGCTGCCTCTGTGGGATCCCACTGTTGTAATAAAACTGCATGGTGTCTCTTTGTTCCTCACTTTGTTCCAGCAGACCTCATCACCACAACACGACCTGGCAAGCAAAAGATTCAACGCCCTTTCAAGGAGCTTCTTCTTCCTCCCCTCCACGCCGATGCATGTGTCTTGCAATCAAGCGAAGGGGTTGGAGCGGATGAGAAGCATAGCTAAAGCGAGTTGGGCAATGAAACAAGAGACAAACAGGCGGTGGAGGGAAGGGAGCGGCTTGTCAGAGCTCGATGTCCCATATTCCCTACCCCTACCCATTCCCCTTGCATGCTGTCGCCCTGCTCCCCTCCCATCCCCCCTCTCGCTCCTTCGCTGCTCCGTCCCTGCTCCCCACCATTCGCTTCATTTGCTGCTATCGCAGACGTTATCTCACGGTTATAAACCGTTATAGAGCCGTTATAGAGCCGTTCATTGTTGGACTTGGCATGCATGCTGTGGTGTCTCGGTGCGAGCGGTGGCATGGAGGGCGGTCGATTCGATCTCCTCTCCTCTTTCTTCCTCTCTCACTGAGCTCTCCTTCCTCTCTCGCCTCCTCCTCGCTCTCCTCCTCCTCCTCTGTGCCCTCCCTTTCGCTCCATCCCTTTGTCGCTTCCTCCGCCCCTCAAGTGAGATTTCTGCGACGTCCTGCTTTCACCGAACTCAAGATGCAGAAGAGCTGGGGAAGAGACCTTAGCTTCTCGAGACAGGGCGGAGAGGGTGTGGCAGGGACAGTCGTCGTTGTGGGAGATGGCAACCTCTCATACTCCCTAGCCCTCAAGCAAGCATTCCCCTCGCTCAACCTCCTCGCCACCACATTCGATCCCTTTCACGTGCTGGAAGAGCGATACGGGGCTGTCGAGGCGATCAAAGAGCTGAAGAGTCTCGGAGCTGCCGTCATGCATGAGGTCGATGCGACCAACATGGCACAGACTGTCGGTGCTCACTACCGGGCTGATTGTATTATCTTCAACTTTCCGCACCATCCCGGTAAGGGAAAGATCCACAAGAACAGGGAACTGCTCAGGGGTTTCTTCTTGAGCGCAGCTAATCATCTCACGTCCATCGGTGAGATCCGAGTAGCCTTGTGTGCTGGTCAGGTCTTTCATCCATGCTGCTTCCTCAACTTGATGCTGATCATGGTCCCATTAGGGTGGAACTCCTCAAGACAAGCCACGATGCTGGGGCGACAGCTGGCAGGTCAGTCCGCGCCTTTCTCTCAGCTTCTGACAGCCTGTAGATCACAGCTCAAGCAGCAGCTGCTGGGCTGATTCTGATCAGAATGTTTCCGTTCGAAGCGCCTGAAGGGTACTCGAGCAGCGGGTACAAGTCGCAGGTGAGAGATGAGGGCTTGCTTGCAAGTGCACATGGAGGACTGCGAGGAGCTGTGCCTGAGGCTGATACAACGAAATCGGCTGATCACTGAGTCTGCAGAACAAAGGGTTTCGAACAGAAGAAGGGCTGGTGCACGTCTTTGTTCCTGACGACCGGTACGACATGGCTTGGTCCATGGGGCACGTCTCAACGGGAATCACAGGGGCTTTCGAGGTATTCATCCTCCAACTTGGGCTCATGACATCAGCATGTGGGTGAGCCGCCCAGACATCATTTTTGAACTCAAATGCTTAGATCCCGCATGCAGGTGAAGAGAAGCTTTCAGGACGACGATTTCATACAGGTGACAAGAATGGAACTTTGTATGTATGCTGAAAGCGTGCTATCATAACTCTATCAACGACTCTGACTTCAAGAAGATGCTTCCTTTGCTTACACTCACATTGATCGCATTAGTTGGCCTTGTCCCATCCTGAGGTTTACAGCGTACAGAGGTTTGATTCCTTTGAGAGAAAGTCTCTCCCACCGGTGGAATTGCTTCGATAAGATGACTTTGAAAATGATCTCAGAAATTCACAGGCTGCTAGAGACGTCTTTAAGGACTTGCCCGAAGAATATCAGGAGAGCCGATCATTCCGTGTGATGTACAGGTTTGCAGAATTGATTTGAATGTTTTTGTTGACTTCTCTAATGGCTAGATCGGAAACTAAAGCTATTTCACAAGAATTGGCAAGAGATTTGCAACTCAAATTAAGGGAAGAAGCTGTAACCGAGCTTAGAATCGTGCTGCGATGATCCAATTGCCTTTATAGATTCCTTGCAGATTCTTCTCCTAGACGTGCCCTATTGGTTTTATCTTTTTCTCGACACTGTATATATTTTCAATGCCTCTCCAGTGTCCTGCAAGGTTCTCACCTGTTGCTCAAATTCCCTCTTCTCTAGATGAATTCCATGGTTTCGAGTTGCCCGTTTCTGTTGCAAGTGTTCTAAGTATTCTGCAGAGTATTCTGTTCCTGGTCAGTAGCACCAGTTACTTTTACCTGCGAATCTTCTACCAACCTAGCTGCTGCTTGTGTCAAACTCGACAGCTTTTCGACGAGTTGTTGTTCGTTGCTCCCTAAATTGTACGATACTGGCATCTTACAGTTTAGCGATTGATCTGGAAAGAACAAGAGATGTTTCGACAAATCAGTTAGTAATACTGTACAGGACTGAGAACTTTTCAGGAGCCCACTTCGTGCTTCCATTATTTTGCTTTCATGTATTTGGTAGTAAGTTGCATTTTCCACCCGAAGTTCTTGAATGCAATGGGCAAAAAAACACAGTCTTCGAGCACAAACGGATCCGAAGCTAATCATTGCACGTGTGATCGATGTAATGTTTTTTGACGATCAATACTTACGAACAAAGCTGAGAACGAAATGATGCAGGATGCAAGCCCGCCTCCCAAGGGCTGATCGTTGTTATGCGATTGTTCAGACTTGATTGCTTGATTGCTTACCCATGAGCAAATGGACAAGTCTCTCCCTTCGAGCACTTTCTGTTACGTCTGAACTCTGCAATCTATACTCAAATTTTCAAGAGGATCATTGGATCAAATGTTTCCCATGCATGCTGCTGATGTATGACAGCTATGAAACTGTCGTTAGGTACCAGCAACCTGATGGTTGTGCTGTCGTATTTCGACCTGGGATGCCTCCTTCTCGCAGTTTCTCCAATGTGCGCATATGGGCAACTCTTCCAGTCTATAGCTAGATTCAGCGATTTCGAAAACAATCCTGACTCCGAATATGTATGACCATGTGGTACAGGTGATTGGCAGCCAACGACTTTGAATACAAACATGCTAAAAATATGTCAAGCAGTGAAGAATTTCCAGAAAAACAAAACCTGAATATTGATTCTTCTGACTCTGCTTGTAAGTAAAGATTGATGCTGTCACTTCCGTTTTCACGCGTGAGCTTTTCTGTGCTGCAATCAGACTCGAACGAGAATTCCTGAGCTGCGATGATCCCTGAGCAAATTATAACGATTGAAAAGGAAAAAATCACGATTTTGATTTGAATACGCTTGTATTTTGCTACTATCCAGTCCGAAAGGCTTTGCCCTTAACATATCGCAGGGGATATTCTCTTGCGGCTCAATATTATCCCTGAAATTTGATAGATGAACTGTCTGAGAAAAGCGATCCCGGATCTCTGTACATGCAGCTAGATATAACAGAATGAACACCAACTTGCTACAGAAGCTCTTCACCTGTCGAAGAAAAATCGTTTAGAAGATTTTGAAAACCATTCCTTTGTAGAAAATTGGGTGTATTGAATCCTCTTTCAGCATTTTCTGAGCAATTCACCAGATCAACATGCGCGGCGCTGACCTTTGGAGCATAGATTGTGTTAAAATCACTTTGCTAAGAGCGTTCAGTCGTTTCAACCATTTTTGCCTTTTCCTCTGATGTTCAAAGAAAGTTAGGTATGGCATGTCTCCACAAGAAACAATCAGCATGAGTTTATCAAGGAGAGCACGTGGCAAGTTGTAATGGTCAAAAGTGAAGTAACAAGTTGGACAATCAAAACGATACTTTCGTTACAAACAGAACGAGGTCATTACAACTGAGGGTGTACAATACACACCATGAACATGAAATTTGTTCGGTCGTCCTGAAACCTGCAGTCCAGTAAAGCATACAACAAGTACGTGCGAAAGCATGAATCCTGCCAACCTGTGAACAGTTCGCATCTTCGTGTCTGAATGCTATATTGCGATTGTGCATCACTGTATGCACAATCGGATCCTTGCTAAGATTGTACGAGCCATGCGTTGCTTTCTTCGAAAATGAGTTGCATTGCATCTCTTGAAAACCGTCTGCAGAAGAAGCCTGTTGTGGGGCTGCGGTTGGTGGGGAGAAGCTTGGCAACATTTTGCAAAATTCTCGAAATGAAAGGAGCGAGTTTCAGATCTGAACCAAGGATGAAGAACTAATGACAGCTATTCAATCCTCTGAGCTGCTCGAGCCTGAAGAAACATAGTTCATGAACATTCTTCTCGGTCGTCGCGCTCGCACCATCACGCCGGCATGTTCCATTACCACTTCATCTTTTTGTGCCAAAAGTTTGTGGGGTTCGCAGTGCCGGGAAAGGCGGGAAATCAAAATCGTTGTAACCGTTATAACGGCGAGTCACCGTCACGGGGCCCGGCCCGGCGGGCTCAACTAAGGCAAGTTGCAGTGCGGCGAAGTTCAACTCAGTGCTCTACACCAGCACCGGGTCTGAGGCTCTGCGAGTGCTCATGACCGTGTCGAACTCGGTGGCAGTGACGGTGATTGACGGTCACCGGGTGACGGGTCGAACTTCGGAAGCCCCGGCGCGCACTGGCGCAAGTTAGCCTTCCGGCCCGGCATACACTCACGGTTTCCAACGCCGCCGGGCCCCGGGGTGGACTAGGCTCCGGCCCGTGTCACTCCTCGGATCACATGGCCGGGCTCGGGGCCCGAGCCGCTGATTGGGTCACTGTCACTCCATCATGGCCCTCACCGGGCTAGAGCGAGTCGGGCCCGGCCCGCCGGCCCGGGGCCGGACGGTTCTAGACGGTGGGGTCGTGGCGGGGAAGCGGTCTATCCGACGTCGGGTCGGTACCCATTTCTTATGAGAGGGGGTAGGGGTACCTCAAAGCGTCAAAGTACCCCAGCAATCAACAAGAAGAAAGCCTGAAGCATGGGGTGAGCTCACTTCAATAACATCTAGGGGTGGGGTAGCGTACTCGAGGTACGTCCGTGCAGGGGTGGACCAACGTCATTGGGGGTCATTACCCCTTTGGATAATTTCCAAAAAGGCAGAATAAAAGGGTGGGTACTTGAGGGCTCTTTGCTATTTCATTCCGTCTTAACTCGGGGTGGGGTATACAACTACAGGGGTAGTATGTATGACCGGTCACTACCATGACCCCATTCCACGACGAGAGCCTGGTGGAGGACTGCATATGGCATAGAGCCGCTGCATTTCCAGCATGCCATCTGCCTTCTTCCCGCCCTCCTCTCTGCCCAGCACCAAGCAAGGAAGTCCATCCTGATCCCTCCTGCATCCTGCCTCCTCTCTCCATCATTCCATGCACACTGCCTCCTCCCTGCTCCCTGCTCCCTGCTCCCTGCTCCCTCCTCTCTGCTCCCTGCTCCCTGCTCCCTGCTCCCTGCTCCCTGCTCCCTGCTCCCTGCTCCCTGCTCCCTGCTCCCTGCTCCCTGCTCCCTGCTCCCTGCTCCCTGCTGCTCCCTCCCTCTTCCCTCCTCCCTCCCCCCTCCCTCCCTGCTCCCCTCCCCCCTCCACCTGTTGATGTTTTGAAGAAACTGCATTTGGATCTTGGAGAAACCCTTGATTCCGAGCAAGGGGTTCTTTTCATGTACATTTGCACGATTTAATTCAATGGAGCTCATAGCATTGCTTAGTAATCAGTATTAGGTCGGTATATGATATCGCATCTTGCTCAAATTTGGATCGTTTAGGTGGTCGACAATTTGTAATTTTGATCTAGTGGAGACTTTCATATTCAATCACAGTACTAAGCTTGTTGGAAGTGTGTTTTGTTGATATTTCTAATATCATTTTTGCAATAGATGATCTTGAATCAAGACAGAAGCCGATGAGTTAACGGGGTAACTTGCTGGTAAAACAGTCTGGACAAGTGGGAGCGATGCACTGCAGATTCAAGAATAAGAGTGTAAACTGCATTTTTCAACGCAGTGCAGCACTTGGCAGTAGAGTCTACAATAAGGAACTTCAAAACTTGTTGGACCATTGTTGGATTTCTCGCAAACAGACAGATGCTGCGCTCCTGCGCTGTTTCATGCACTCATCTCACCACGAACAGAAACCAAGAGAAGGAAGTTCTTTTCTTCCTTCCAACGGAAATGATCAAAAAAGCGGAAGGCCATGGAGACATGGTAACTCTTTCCTCTTTTGATCTCCCACTTAGTTCACCAGCCCCAGGATATTCTCGGCCTTGGGAGATCAGCAGGAGAGCGATGTTGTTTTTGAAGGGTGCAAGTGCAGCTACATTTGCCTCCACTGCTGTTGCTGCGGCCTGTTCATGGCAAGAAAAATCAACGCCGCAGGATAATGATGCAATCATCGTAACCATTCCTAAAATAACCGGGGAGCCAAGAAGCCTTATTGCTCCGCATTCCACCATGTGTGCTGTTTCTTCCAACACCAAATGCGAAGACAGGTAATTCACGACAGGTTTGCATGGGGTCATGGCATGTTTCATTCGTCCATAAAAAACCTCATTCTGTCTCAAACTCACTCTTGTTGCCCGAATGTTGCTGTTGTTTGTTTGACAGAGTTTCGTATTTGATGCACAACAGTCAGAACGTTTCTGTGCCGTTTCTATGTCAGGAGTCACTTGTTTTGAAAATTGTTGAAACGTTCTTTCGTCCAGGTCAATCGTTCACATCGCAGGTAAAGGTGAAAACTCGGAAAGCTATTTTGCTGTTTATGATGGACATGGAGGTCCGTTTAATGAAAAATTCGGTATCATCTTTTCTGAAGATCGTTTGCTACTCGGTGTTTCAGGATGGGAGTGTGCAGAATTTGCTTACAACATGCTTCCGGATTCAATTTCAAGCTTCCTTCCCAAGGGTCATTCTTCTCTCGTTGACGAAAAGTGAGAAGTCGTCTCATTCCTGTTCACAGAAGAAGGCTGCAAGAACGATGACGAGATGGAGTCAGCGATCAGCAAAGGATTTTGTCAGGTAAATTTCCTTCAAGTTCAGAACGTGTATGACTTCGGAGCAGGTGGAGGAACGCTGGACGGAAAAGTTGAAAGTTGAATGGCTGAAGTCTTGCTTCGTTGGCTGTAATCAGTTGTATCTTATCGATGTTTCAGAAATCCCAACTATGTAACTTACGGTCCGCCCGGAACTGAACGCCTCTCTTCGGTATCAAGCCCTCAACACTCCAATCATTATTAGTCCCGCCTTATCCTCCTTCACACAGTCTGAATTTGCTTGATTCCCTCAGGTCGGCACTTGTGTTCTCCTTGCTGTGGTGCACAAGGGCGTTCTGTACATCGCCAATGCGGGGGATAGCAGAGCTGTGTTGGCTCAGAAAGGGTGAAGCTGTCAGCTCTTGTGGAACCTCAGTGATTTGACCTGCAGGTTTGGCGGAGGTTACCGGGCGCAAAGAGTGACGACGGACTTGAATGCTATGAATCCAGCCGAGCAAGTCGAAGATCATGCGCCTCTCTTTTCACTCCTGACCGGAAGTTCAGGATCGTCTCCGGAGGAACCATCCTGGTGAAGTTGATATTGTCCGTTGCCGTGGCCTCTACTCTTGTTACGTCAAAGGCTGCCTCCAACCGACCTACAGGCTTGCCCTGCTCCTCTCGCTCTCGCTCCCTAACGACGTCTCTCACAGCCTCGGCGACGCCTATCTCAAGTATCCGCACTTCAACAATTTTCCTGGGCGCGTGATTCCGGATCCTTACAAGTGAGGAGGAGGGGACGTGAGGAGAAGAGTGATGGTCGTGTCAGGCCGCCATACATTGAAACTATCCCGGAGATAACTGCTCGTCCTCTCAACAACTGCTCCCCTGGAGACTTTCTCATCCTCGCGACCGACGGCGTATGGTGATGCTGAGAAGATGCGTGGTCTGGTCTAGTCCTGACCTCTTCACAGGGACTACTTGTCCGACCAGAATGCTGTCGACCTTGCGCAGCGCGCGATGGTGAGCAGGAGAGAAGAAAGAGTCTCGTGACTCTTGTGCAGACTCGAGGTGAGAACGCAGCGGCTGCGATCGTGGAAGCGACTCTTGCCATGGCTGCTTCTCGCTTCGGCATCAACAGGGAGCAGGTGGGCGGGAGGTGAGAGGCGAACGGGGCTGAGAGGATTCGATCAGTTGTCGGAGCTTCCGATGGGTCGGCAGCGACGGTTGATCCACGACGACGCGACAGGCCTGTGCCTGTGGCGGAGAGGGAAGGGGCTGATGCTCGTGCAGTGATCGTCGTCGACCTCTGGTCGGTCAGCCAGAATCAAGAGGTTGGGAGCAGTGGGGAGCCTCCGCGCTCGAAGCTCTGAAGCCATGGAACGAAGAAGGAATGGTGGGGCAGGAAGGGGAGTAGCAGTAGCAGTAGTAGTAGTAGTAGTAGGAGGAGGAGGAGTAGGAGGAGGAGGAAAATAAGGATGATGATGATGATGAGGGATTGGTTTGAAGGGGGAGAGAGGAGGGATGGGAGAGGAGGTGCTTTTGACAACCTGTAAGACATTTTTACAACATAATAAATGAAGTATCTACTCTTCTCTCAGATGCTGAGGTTGCTCGAACTCCTTGAGGAATCGTCGCTCTCTTCATCGTCGCTCGTATCCTCCCCCTGCTTCATCGTCAGCTCTCAGCCCCCACACGCTCTCGTTGACCTTCTCTGCAAACTTCTCGACCCTTGACTTGCTCAGCAAGCTAATCAGAATCTGCAGGCGAGTTAGAGCAGGGGAGTGAAGGAGGGCGAGGAGAGAGTCAAAAGCACGCAGGCAGTGTTGGCACCTGATGTTGTCTCTTCAGAAGCTGCACTGTGCCGTGAACTACATTCCTTATCGCCTCTTGCTTCCTCAAAATCTCATCCTGTCGACGAAGTTACGGAGCGGGAGAGGCGGAGGCACTGGAGAAGAGGGAAGGGAGAGGGGCGTTCACCTTCTCGTTCTCGCTGTCTGGACGAGAAACGTTGTTGAAGCAGACGGCAACGACAAAGATGACCGCTGAGAAGAAGTGAGGATGATGCGCGGAAAGAGAAGAAGAAGAAGCGAGCAGGAGAAAGAGAAGAAGAAGAAGCGAGCAGGAGATGTGTATCGAGTGCTCTTGTACCGGCGTTGATGATGCCAGCAGTCAGGCTCGCTGTGTCCGTGAAAGCCTCGAAACCTGCAGGCAACGAATGAGGGAGGGAGGGAGGGAGGGAGGGGAGGGAGGGAGGGAGGGAGGGGAGGGGAGGGGAGGGGAGGGGAG